GCTCGCGCGCGTATATAGCTTCTATTATGTGCGTGCGTTCTCGCGTGCGTATAGGTACCTCTTCTGTGCGTGCGTGCTCGCGCGCGTATATAGCTTCTATTGTGCGTGCGTGCGTTCTCGCGTGCGTATAGGTACCTGTTATGTGCGTGCGTGCTCGCGCGCGTATATAGCTATCTGTTATGTGCGTGCGTGCGTTCTCGCGGGCGTATAGCTTCTGTTATGTGCGTGCGTTCTCGCGGGCGTATAGGTACCTGTTATGTGCATGCGTGCTCGCGCGCGTATATAGCTATCTGTTTTGTGCGTGCGTGCGCGCGTTCTCGCGGGCGTATAGGTACCTGTTATGTGCATGCGTGCTCGCGCGCGTATATAGCTATCTGTTATATGCGTGCGTGCGTTCTCGCGGACGTATACGTACCTGTTATGTGCGTGCGTTCGTGCTCGCGCGCGTGAGTTTTGAACTGCTTGTGTACACGTCGCGTTTACTTGAAGAACGGCACGTTGAAAATGCGTGTTTAGAACTCCACGATAAAATGCGTGTTTTTCCATCGTTTCCAACGCGTGTTGGATACGGCACGTGTCGACTTGGCCGGATGGGTATTAACCTGCGCCAGTCGGCAAATTTTCACGTCTCTATATCTTCCGTGAACGGAAATATTGCTAAGTTTGTAATTTTTATGGAGGCTATTTTGAATCCAAGATGGTGGCCGAAAACGCCCTTGGATCACATGCATCACGTTGTTGTATGAAATAGTAACCCAAATTACGTCTGTAAGTAAATTTTCAAGTCTGTACGAAGATTATTAACCAAGATATAGCTATTTTTTAAGAAATGACGGCGGCCATTTTGAATTCAAGATAGTGGCCAAAAACGCCCTTGGATTACATGCATCACGTTGTTGTATGAAATAGTAACCCAAATTACGTCTGTCAGTCAATTTTCAAGTCTGTACGAAGATTATTAACCGAGATATAGCTATTTCACGTTGTTGTATGAAATAGTAACCCAAATTACGTCTGTCAGTCAATTTTCAAGTCTGTACGAAGATTATTAACCGAGATAGGCCTATAGCTATTTTTTAAGAAATGACGGCGGCCATTTTTGAATTTAAGATGGCGGCCGAAGTTGTAGTTGGATCGCGTGTGTTCTGTCTTTAAATGAAAGAGCATACAAAAGTATGCAAGTGTACAAATTTTCATACTTTTTTCACAATTTGAACGATTTTTTCCTAATCTACTGTACTATAAGGAGAAATGCCGATGCATGGCTCTAATCAACGCAAACCGCCAGCAGCAGCAGTAGCGGCTCTGCTCTCCAGCCCTGTCTTTCTACATCGC